CTGAGAAAAGTGGCTATGGTTTGATCGTTGGGGTGTCTGAGGAGCAATGTGATGTCACAGTTACCAATGAAAAGACAGGAATTGGGCTCTGAGCCATGCTCTGTTACGTACTAGTCTCAGGGCATTAGATGAAGTTCCTTAGGCTCATCAGGCCTTGTTTTCCTAATCCATAAGATAGTAATCATAGTGTGTTTGTCTCGTATTTCATCGAGTTGTTGCAAGAATTAAGTGAGGTAATATTCCTGAGAGTTCTTGGAGAAATCTAACTCAAGATGCACTTTGGGCTATTGTTTCGGATTAAACTTTTGTACCCCTAGCTTTTTCCTGATTTTTGGAGGATCCTGTCCGCCTCCCCATTCATGGTATTCCTGGACTGTTTCGATTGGATTTACTCATGCTTCACCACCAGTCCAGAGTGAAGCTGAGCTTTGGTGTACACATCAGATGCAAATTCATTCTTCTTAACATGTTCCAGCAAAAGGCAAAGGGAAAACATTTTCTTTCCTTAGTAGACAGTCACGAAGCATGAGATAAAGCAGTTTTTAAAAAGCTAGTTTTATCGATTAGGAAACAGAGTAAATAAAAACCTTAAAAAACTTGCCTAATTTGGAAGAGGCACGTCCCCAGGGTCCCTCGCCTCCATGCAAATGTTTGTCCTCTGCCCCACTCCCCCCCCACACACCCCCACATTGCAGTGAAATAACTGCAATCTGATCAGCTGGATGGAGAACCACGCACTGACCAGGGAGCTGACTTAGTGCAGGCTCTCCATCCATATGTCCTCCAATTCACCTCATGGCAGCTTGGCCCATTTTTCCCGACAAGAAGATGAGGAACAAACATTAGTTCATTAGACTTTTGATTCATGTGACTCCTATCATGCCATCCATATAAATGAAAATTCAGGTTATAGATTAAGGAAAGTGAAGTTTGCTCTATGGGTATCTTAAAAGGTACTCTGCCTCCTTCCCGACAATAAATTTCACAGTGCTTGAAATCTTGCTCAGTTAAAAACACCTTGAGATAGGGAACTAGTGTTTTGGATGCTGAGCCGACCTCAAACTTCACCTGTGGTGTTTATGAGGGGCTTGACTGCACAGGACCCCGAGTTCTAACAGCCTGGCTGGTCGTTCCCTGGTCTCACTCTTAAATCTTCCCTCTCAACCTTGGTTTCTCCCCTAGTTTAATGGAAAACCTTCTACATAATATGTACATCGAAATATTTCAAAATTCCTTTAGTAAAAAGATACAGCACTTTAAGCCATCAGAATAACTTTTTAAGATTAGTAAACGTTTCTCCTTATGAAAAGAGTAACAAAAATTTAAATGAAAGTAGATTTGATTTTAAGAAACGACTGTTTTCTTTTTGCTTTTTTTTGGTCAACTTTTAAAAGTTTGCTATACAATTCTATCATTTTAAATAGATTTATAGATATATTTAACCACCTTCATAAAGGTGCAGAACAGTTCTATCACCAGCCGCCCTTGTCCCCCCACCAAAAAACAAAACTCCCTACCCTCTGGCAAGCACTGATCTGTTCTCTGTTGCTCTACGTTTGCCTTTTCCCGAATGTCATATAAATAGAATCATACTGTATGTGACCTTTTTTACAATTCGGCTTTATTGAGATGTAATTCGCATACCATTTAATCTACTCATTTAAAGTATATGATTCACTGGTTTTTAGTACATTCACCGAGTTGTGCAACCATCACTATAATCAATTTGAGAACATTTTCATCGCCCCAGAAAGGAATCCTGTACTTCAGCAGTCATTCCCCGTTTCTCCCAACCACTACCCCCTTGCCCTAGGCGGCCACTAATCTGCTTTCTGTCTCTATAGATTCCAGGCAACTGTTTTTAGTGATGTTTTGTGCATGACTTTTGATGTTTCTCAGACTGAACTTTTTCCAATTTTATTAATTTAACTTTGCAGAATTGTGCATTGTAATTTATAAAGCAATTTCTATAAAGCTAAATATTGGTGAGGAGGGAACTTTAATTGTGTCTTTCCTCAAGAAGGATACTCAGAATAGTTTTTCTCTTTTAGACCTTCTACTTAAAAAAAATAAAGGTCCTCTCCATGAGAATCCTCCAGGATGGTAAGGGTGTGTTAGTCACATTGGAATGATAGTTATTTGGGAGGGAATTCTAGAAAGCTGAGTTTCGAATTTTGAGGGTAAACTAGATATTTTGTCCTGCTGCATTCTGCTGCCTGGGGGTGATGGCAGTGCTCTTGACTCCCAGGTTTACTTTGGGGAGTGTTCTCTGTGAGCCCACCCCTCCTCCAGAATGGATGTGATCATAGCTTCTCATAGGCTCCGACAAGCATCAAGTGAAATATGATTATTTGAGCCAGTGCTCTTTAGCACTTCTCTTCTTTATGAGAGGTAATGTCATGTAGGGATGATAGACAGAAGACCCAGTCACGTGACCTGTCTCCACATTTGGAGGTATGAGTTCTCACTGTTAGAGGTATTACCTTGGGCAAGTCACTTAACTTCCTGTTGTCTCCCTGTGGCCATCTGCTATGTGACAATGAATAATAGAAGGTCTTTTGAAGTTTAGCTGTGATTATTTATGTGGATGTACTTGAAACATAATAGAAGCTTAACAAATATTTGATATTTGCTTTTCTTTTTGCTAAAGTAATCGGTTTATGGCCATCATAGTCTTTAGGGAGCTTGTTTTGTGCAACTATATGGAAGTTACTGAAAAGAGTTTTCAGAGGCTATGTAGTCTGAACTTAGATGTATATTTGGACCGGAGCCAGCGCTACATTTTGAAATGCTTCTTAAAGCTTAGAAGCACAGTGTGTTGCTGAAAGGAAAAGAATGTTTGGGTGAACGATGGACAAAGGAGAAACCCACACCAGGATGACTTAAGTTTTCTGTACATCGCTAAGTCTCTGTAGGGAGCTGAAGAAATTCTCTGGCTTTCAGGGCCTCAAACCCAGACGGTCTGACTGAAGACCAGCTAATGATGAGCCACAGGCTGCAATCTGAAGTTTTCTTTAGACAAAAGATCGATGCGTGAGGACCACAGAGAAAAAGGAGTCGGGAATGATTAGTTTGTGCATAGAAGGGAAAGCTAATTTCTTCCTTAATTGGAAGAGTTTTATAATAACACCACTGTAATTGTTCCACTTTTATATCAGGCAATAATTACCTTTCACAGCAAATATAATAAAAGTAGCAGTCACTTATTGAGCGTGCTTCCTCTGTCAGGTGACTAATTCCTTATAAGGTGTGTTATTGATATTCTTGTTATCAATAAAGGAAACCCACGCTCAGAGATGATACTTTGCTCCTTTAGCTACTACGTAAATGGAATCTGAGCCAACTTGACTCAAGCTGATGTGTTTTATTTAACTTCGAAAGTTATTTTTTAAAAATAATAATTATAATATGTAGAAGGTAAGTAGTGTCCTTGACTTTAGTTTATCAAATTGACTTTATATATTAACTCAAATGTAAACAGGAAAATATGATTGCTGCCAAGGGACTAGTAATAAGTGCGATGCAGCAACCATTTATTGAGCATGCACCGTGCATCACTCATTACTCTAAACACTCACTAAGTTTTTATTCATTTAATCCTCATGACGACCTTATGATATTGATACGATTATCATTCCTTTTTTGCAGATAAAGAAAAGTTAATTAACTTGCCCAATGACGTGTCACTCTGTGAGGCAGAGCTGGAACTTGAACTCAGGAAATGTGGCTCTCAAGCCCACCTCTGTCACTGCACTAACCCAACGCGCAGTCACCCTGTCTTGGGGGAAGGCAAGAGCCCAGAGGCAAAAAACCAGTCAGTATAGCCAAAGCAAGAGAAAGCCCCCAATTTCGACAATTTGGTGTTATTTTTACTATGATCACGGCTTGAAGAGATGAAAAGAAAAAAAATTTTTTGTGGAAATAGCACTGAAAATTTAAACATTAAATCAAGAGTTTAAAGCTTGATCATTAAACCAGTTGAATTTATCTGCATTCACTTCAGCAAGCAACTCGGTTTATATCAGTTATAGTTGTCACCATTTGCTGGAAAGAATAATTTTCCTCTTCCGGCAAACCAAAGTAAATAGCTAAGAGTGAGTCACGATTGGATCAAGCCTTTTCTTCCACACATATATCACATTTTTCTTTTGCAAAATACTTAGCTTGTGTTTTCTTCCCATTAAGCAGTAACTCTTTGATATCTTATATTCTCTCATATTTTTTAAAATGCTGCCACAAAACTTGGGACTTTGAAAAGTGATTAAGATGAACAGATTACCAGTGGTGAAGGGCAGATAATAGGCAAAGAATATATGGATCAGGTGAGTTGCAAGGCCATCTTTATTTAGCTCACTCCCTTCGCTGTGGCATTTGCAGCCATGCGTTTAGATACCTGAGGTAGACTAGCCTGGGAAGCGGTGTCAGCTGTGTTATGGTGCTTGTTGCTCAGTATTTGGCACTCCATGACTCCTGTGTGGTTTATAAACAGCTGTTTCCATTTCTGAGTGATAGCTTTCTGCAAAGAAGTGAAAAGAAAAATGGATAAGATTTCAACTTCTCTTTTAAAAAAATGTGTTAGGATCACCTCTACTTCCTTTCATTACTGGAGTGTCACGTGACTCTTTAAGCAAAACCCCAGTTTTCTCTCCTCTTGAGGAAGTCGGTGTGAGTGGAAGTGTTTTAACATTAACTTTAACATAAAAGGAGCTGCTTAATCTCTATGTCAGTCCTTGTGCTCGTTCTTGGGCTCAGGCAGGGTCCTCTTTTGGTATGCCTTGTGATCTAACTGGATCCACTTCTGGTGATTTCCCTGGACTAATAGTCCGCAAATACGGTAGCTTAAGGCTTAGCACTGGGCAGAGGTGGTGTGTTAATCTTGCTTTCTGTGGGGCTAATAGTAGACATGGGGACTCTTGTGTCAATGTTTTTCAGGCTGATTTAGAAAGAGCATGGGGCATATACTTAAATAAACCCCACTGACTGACAGTTTGGGCCCGTTGCTGGGCCTGTAAGAACCTTCGGAACACAGAACCATTGCTCCATCCTAGACCGACCACTTGAGACCCTTCTGAGGCTGAGCCAGACACAGCAAGGAGAGAGCTAAGTCATCTAGTTGTACTTCCTGGCTCGACCAAACATAAACAGATGAGAAGAACCTGAGCCGAAAAGGGTATTAGGACTGTGATTTGGGTTAATATTACTACCCCAGGGTAGTAATGGATTCATTACTGGACAGACACAGGAAAGAATCTGGGGTTAGAAAAGCCAGTTGAGTAAATGATGATGTATCATCATTAAAGAATTGTTTCGTATAGCAGGTCCTCGAATAATGTCCCTTCTTTCAATGTCTTTTAGTCCTTTAGTTATAATGTTGATAAGAAAAAATATTGGTTTCCTGCCAGGGCCACTGTTTGTGTGGAGTTTGCACATTTTCCCCTCGTCTATGGTTTTGTTTTGTTTTTTCCTGAGGACTCTGCTTTCCTCCCACATCCCGAAGATGTGCAAGTAAAGTGACTGATGTGTCCACGTTGTCCCAGTCTGAGTGTGGCCCTGGGATGGAAGGGTGTCCTGTCCAGGGCGGGTCCCACCCTGAGCCCGGAGCTGCCAGATGACACTCTGGCCACTGTGACCGTGAACTAGAATAAGTAGTTTGGAAAATCGTGATCTTGTTTTTATTCATCTTTTCTAAATGTATGTATAACTCACATTTATTTCACTGTTTAATATTAGAAGTGTTTGGGGTCTTCATTCAGAAGTTTAATGATGTTTATGTGACCAGAAATAGGCTATAGGAGCTGAACTCTTGTTTATATCAATCAGCTTGTGGCAAAATTGGTTTTGTTACATATTGTTTAGCTTAAAGTCATAGGTTCCAAAAACCTATAGATGGTTTTAAGTGAGGACTTACTGTGTTTATACGAACGGGAAGGTGTCTTCACATTAGAGCAGATAAAAGAATGGAATCCTTTTTAGAGGTTTGTTTAAAGTCATCAAAAGAACAACATGAACTGATGAAAATTATTTAGGCTTCTGTGTGCAAGATCTATGGGGTAAAGTTGAAACAGATGAACTAAACCTCAGCCAGAGAAGAGTACTGAACTGAATGACTTCTAATATTTCTGACTACCCATGTTTGATGAAATGAACAGGTTGGAAATTTTCTGCATTTCTAAGTTTTACCTTTAAGATCGGGGGGAAGTTGTTCCTAGGAAGCTCTCCTTCACTGTAAGTTCTTTTTACTTCTGTGTCTATAATCTAATCTGACTACATTGGGTTTATTGAGAACCTCCCATTTGAAAGTGTTTTGTTATCTATTTATGATTAGCCTGACTATTGTTTGTTTCTCTAGAATTTAAGGTGTTTTATCCTTCTTGTAGACCTTGAAGTTTTAAACATGAAGTAGAATTGTTTTATCAATCATACAATATTTGTTCTCTGACAGGTGATTATAAACAATGCGGTAGAGTGACTCTTGAAATAAGGGAAAATGATAGCAATAGTTTTATAATAGATGAAGTATAAGTGAATTGTGTTTTTTTAAAAAATACACCGCAAAGCTAATACTTTGGAAATGTTACCATTTTCTTTATGGCTATAGTGTGACCAAATTTAGGATTAAATGACTTTCCATTTTTTGCTATCAGGTTTGAGAACAAAAATCAAGTTCACGGAAGCAAAAATATGATATGAAAGTCAACTTTACTATATACCGGCAAATGCATTTGCAACCGTGGGCTCTGTTTATCAATCAGAGCTTTTTTTTTTCCCCCTCTAAACATTATTTTCTGTTTTGAGTTTCGGTGTGGGGTTAGTTAGGTTGGCAGTGGATAAATTCCAGTCCTCACTCGTGACTCAGGGCATGGAATTATAATGCCATATGGGACAATTACTGTAGCAGTTAACCATCAGGGAGCCTGGGGCAAACCATCTACAGCGTTTCCATTGTTTTGATTTCAATTCTGACGTGGAATTCAGCATCTGATAAGGTTTCCAGCACTATTGGACTTTGACTTTCTTCTTCAAAGGTGGGTGAGGTGATAGTGTAGGGTTTTTCTGGTGGTTCTCAACCCTGGCTGTCCATTAGAATCAATGGAGAGCATTTATACCACCGCGTGCCCGTGCTGCATCCCGACCAATTAAATGGGAGTGGGGGGAGATCCCAGACATCAGTAGCTTTTAGAGCTCTCCCAGAGATTCTGCTTGTGTACCAAGATTGAGCACCATTTCACTAGACCCAGCCATCACAGAATCTTTGGGCTATTATAAGAAAATCTTTGGATCAATGAATTAAGATGGTCCTATTCAGGGAAATGAGTTAGGTCGAGATGTGCCCTGAATAACTACCTACCCAAAAGGCCACCTCAAGGCACCCCTTTGAGGAAAGGCGACTACAGTGAATGCCAGTTAGGAGGTGGACAGTTTCCTGGGTAAAATGCTCGCTTCACTCAGTTTCT